GAACCCCTATCTCGTTTTACATGTGTTTTAATGCGGGATACTTCGGTCCGAATTACAAATATGAAATTTAATGAACGTGTGGTATATTTTGTAGTCTATCTCTGTGAACACTACAGATTTTGTAGTGTCGCGTCTTTCATTTTCAAACGCATCAGTGTTTGATGCGTACGCGGAGTTAGCCGACGTAGCTATTCTTAGCTTGGCATGATCTCGCGTGTTTCTTTCTATGGCCCGGTTTACCGGTTTGACAGATGACATCACAAAATGATTAACGTTTCCTGATGCGTTGATGCGCATGCGTACGCGTTTACCAATAGTCTTCGGCCTTCCGTCGCTTCCGAGTTTTTAATTAAAATGCCTTGTCTTGGCTCGTCTTTTCATTACGGAGGTCGGGAGACACTCCGAAGGTGTTTTCAAATGTCTTTCTTAATTGTCAGGGGGTTCTTATTATATTTCATATAATAGAATGTGTCTTTTTCTCATGTTTGTACTTGTGACGTTCAGACGCATCAGTCTTTGATGCGTACGCGGGAACTGCCGTACATGACTTTCTGAATGGCCGTGAGCCACGCTAAGTCTTCATACATTTACTACCTAGGTGTAGTTTAGTCTTTCCATGTTTCAGACATGCCGTTTAGGCGTCTATGTTGTCTTTTCTGTATTTCTTGTATAAGCACGAGTTTTCACAATAAATCCATTATGTGTTTCTAAACCCTTGAGTAGTAATGCAATTCTTCTCCCTGCGTTGGGTGTTTACTCTAGAACCTCTCCGTGCTCTATTTCATGGTAGGTGAATCTTAGATGGGATCCAAGTATAATGTCACGACGCGTACTGCTGCCAGTTCCAAAGCCTTTGTCCTATTTTCAGATTCCACGCATTTGCATTTTTAGTCAACTGCGCCGGGTATGCGCATTGGCTCTTTGTATCATTGCAATTGTATGTAGTGTATTTATTAGAGACGACCTTTATCGGTAAAATCGTTAAAATCGAATTTTATACGGGTGAAATGGTTTCATCCGTATCATCTCCCCCCCACTATAATACTGACCGTCCTCGGTCATTGCAAGATTCCCTTCTGAGGACGTCTTTTTCTGGACTTTGTCTTGTGGTTCACACGTTCTCATATTGTAGCGACGGATCGCCAAGATTTTCCAGGATCGACTGACATATTTTGACACTTCCTGAAGGTGTCAATGTCCGCCACACCGACGTTTTCCTCGTTATAGTATGCATCTCACTCACGTCAAGTCAAAAGCCTCCGAAAATCTATTTTTAGACACAAGCGCCCAATAAACTTTCTTTTAAACTTTGGGATTCTCAATGATTCGCAGGAACTGCAACAAATCGGACACGGAGCTCCTCTGGAACACAGGAACCTTTTTGTTTTTCTCGTGCTATAAAGGAGGGCCCCTTTTTGGTCGTCTTTCTTTCTTAAAGTTCCCTTTCTTCTTCTCACATTCCCCTCTGCTTTCTGCTCACTTTGCCATGGCTAGTTGGCAAGTGCTCTTCGACGGCTCTGTCTACACTCGCGCTGCATACCATTCCACTCGCTCTCTGTTCGACGAGGAGGCACTTGCGATTTGCGATGGTGAAGACATCGCCAATCTATTGGCTATTGTCCATCCGCTCATGGTAAGTCGTCTCTTATCTTTTTCTTTTCCTGTTAACTCAACATTTGTTTTCTTAGTCGAGATACTGCCGTTCTCTTGACGACGGCGTGCAAGAAACTCAATGCGACCTTCGCGTGCGTAAATCTCTTTACAACGCGTGGGCCGTTTTGAGTACCGACCATGCCAACTCCGCTTGGGATGAGTGGATGCTCGAGGCGCCTGAAGGCGACGAGGATTATTATCTCCCAGTGCGTGTCCTTGTTTCTTCATCTTTTTACTCTATCTGACTTTTTATTTCTAGGTGGATTGTCTTACTGGGGACTTCGTCATGACTCCGTTGAGTAATGACGAACTCCTTCAAGTTCTCCCTGCAATCTGTGATGCGCCTGTCAGGGCAAACCCTTTTCCAGCTTCATCTACTCCTGTCGCTAGTCGTCATCCATCGCCCGTTGACGAGGAGTCTGACCGAGAGGACTCTCCCATCTTTGTAAGTTTTCTTATTCTAAGTATTTCGTTCTTTTTCTGATTTATTCTTTACTTCTTTTTAGAAACGTCGTAGAGGCGTTCTCGCGTCGCCAGGCCTCATGAAGTTTACGCCTTCGCTGCTGGACAGTCCTCCCGCTGCCGGCCACTCTCGTACTTCTGCTACTCCAGCAACTGGTTCTGCTGACACGCCAATTCCTATTTCTTTATCTCCTACGCCGCCGCTTGGTATCTTGCCGCCTATCGCATCTTTTCCAGCACCGCCTGCCAACGCCTCTTCGATCCTCGCAGTCCCCCGCCTCAACATTCCTAAGGTGGAGATGCACACGCGTCGTGATCGCCCTGCAAAAGCTATTGCCAAAATGAAGAACACTCTCGTGCTTGCTCCAAGCACGAAATCTAAGGCCAGCAAACGCAAACGGAGTCCCAGTGAGGAAGGAGAGGATGAGCAATCGGACAAGTCGTTCGTTGCTAGTCCTCCTCCTCGTAAACGTGGACGGCCCCGTAAAAGCGGTACGTCTTCATGTTTTCTTATAATTCACGCTTCACTTTTTAACTTCGAACTTTTTTCTTATAGCGCCAGAGGTCATTAACCCCGAGCTAACTCGTGATAAGCAAAGGCTCTGTAAGTTTTTTTTTTTTTTTTTTTTTTCTTTCTTTTCTTTTTTCTTTTCATTTCTAGTTGCTAACGAAAGTCTTTGTTTATTCAGTACCTCCTCATGAGCGTTTCATAGGGGCGTTCAACGTCCCCACCGACTTGGAGCATCTTTTCAACAAACCATTCGTGAGTTACTTTATTGTATCTTCTTTTTATTTTACTCAAGTTCTCTTCTGTTCAGATCCCCGAGCCTTGCGTTCAATGCTCGATGGGCAAAAACCGAAAGGAGGAGAAATGTCAGTTTCAAGGCTGGGGTTACCCCTGTGTGCCTTGTACTACTGCGCATTTCACCTGCTGTGAATTCAGCTTGAAACCTGTTCGTCGTGCTGAAGTCCGCGGTATCTTGGGACGTCGCCCTGTTCGCTTGGCTCCGGAACGTAAGTTCTCGAGTTTTTATTTAAAAAATTCTCTTCTGACTTCGCTTCTGTTTGTAGTCATTATTTCTCATGTCCAAGACGCTATATTCGATCAACAGCACATCCGCGCACAACACGCGATCCTTGACTCCCTCATGTATCGTCGGGATACCAACATGCGCCGCGCTGCTCGAGCGCTCTTTGACCTCGCTGTTCTCGAAGGCCGTGAAAACTTGGTTGGAACCATTTTTCAGACTCAAGAGGACCTCGACCACTACTTTCCTTTCTTTATGAACTATCTTGGCGATCTTGCCAATCCCTCCGATGGCGAGGCTGCCAAAGACTCCCTCGACAATCTGGCAGAGATGGCCGTTCTGTTTGAGAAGATCTGCCCTGGTCGTCCTCCTACCGATGATTCTGACGAGGACGACGAAGACGATCAAGACAATGAAAGCGAGGCCCCGGCCAACGATGGGTGAGCGAGGCGCTTTCATATTCCTTATGCATCTTTTTGGGACTTTATACAATATTCTTTACACAAAACCTCTTAATATCGTATTATCTTTGTATTTCTTGTAGTTTTTGTTAGGTAGACTAATAAAAGCTTGTATCTTGTTGTTTTTCTACTAGTGTGAAAGAAGACTGAAGTCGCCTAAACTGACTTAGAGACTTTTTCAACCAATTTCTAAGTTCGTTCTTTTAATTATAAAATCGCAAAACATTTATCTCTTGATTTCACAAGGTACATTATATGTTATAATAGATCACTATCCTCCCCCCTACTTTCAAAATCAACTGTCCTCAGTTGTTCCGCCAAGCGTGAAGAGTGCGTCTGAAGCGACGACAATTCTATTAATAGCACATGTGATTATCATACATGATACCTCCTGAAATGATGCTCAACTCCTGATGAGCGCTTTGTCAAATTCTTCATTCTCTAGTCAGGGGTGTAGAACAGTGGAACGACTTAAAAGACGAGAAAAATCGTCGAGTATTGTAGCACAATTCACGACGCTTTTACCCAGCCTAACATGTCACCTCCTGTACCTCTCGCTTCCACTCTCGTCATCCGCGACAATATCAACGAAGCGTTTAAGACTTATGTCAACTCGAAGCCGACGTTCCAGCCCCTTGTTCTGCTCAGCATGCTTTCTAGCATCGCTGGACTCTGCGTACGCTTCTTATAATATATACGTGAATGTCATTTTAATTCGTATGTCTTGCTTCTTGTTAGGGGACTCTTGTCACCAGTGGCGATCCCGCCATTTTCACTGATCACAACTTATCGGAGCCTGTCTTCATCGTTCGCCAAGAGTACAATAGTCTCAATGACTTGGACAAGTCCGTTACCGCTCCTGTAGGCTTCAATGTCTGTCGGGACTTCTGTAAGAAGGTCCAGATCATCCGAGATGCAGGAAACGCACAGAAGCGTGGCGCCGCTGATATCGCTGCAGCCCTCGCTGATGTTAAACCCAAGGTCCGTTATTTTTCTTTAATCTCGTTTTTCTATTTTTAATCGTTCTCTTGCTCAGCCTCGCCCTCGTAAAGCCGTGAAATCCAAGGCTGTCATCGACGACAAGGACGACGACGAGATCGAGATTATTGGCGATGTCGACGTCACAATGGGTGCGTCTGATGGTCCCATTACTGCCGCTTCAGGTCCTGACGCCGTGCGTATCTCTTAATTTTCATAGGTCTTATTAATTCATTTACTCGGTCATTCGCGCAGATGAAAATCGATAACCTCTTCAATGGGGAAGTCGAAGCAAAGGTCGCTACCAAGGATAAGGGCAAAAAGCGTGCCGCAAGCAAGGTAAGCCACGCGATGCGTTCTTTTTGATTTTTAATACGCAAATGCTCATAAATTCGTTGTTAGTTCCCATTCAAACGCGCAGAGACTGTGCGTATTCCGTACGCGTCTGTCCCTGGCATGGACACTAAAAATCGTATTTTCTTCAAGGCGACCGCTATCGAGAATGGTCAGGTTGCGTCGTCCAGCAACAAGCGGGCTCGGATTGATCCCTCTTCTGCCACTGACCTTGCCGACCTTCAGCGTCGTCGCGGTACGTCCTTTCAGTTCTTTTTTATAGAAATAACACGAAGCTAACGTCATATTTTTATCATTCTGTGCATAGGACACTCTTTGTCACTTGATAGTTCCATCAAGGACTTTATCACGTCAGCGCACCCGCACCGTTCTCGACAAACCCATGCCTGGCGAACCCACGCTGGATTATTATCGTACTACCGAGCTGGACTTGCGAAACCGCGTCATTACTGTCCTTCAGCGTATGGACTTAGAGCTCAAACTCTTTGAAGTCGTCAATGCTGAGTATGAGACTGTTGCTGACTTGCTCAAAGATTATGAGGAAATCGAGGCGTTTCTCGCTTAAGTAGGCAATTATACGGACTTAGTAGGGGTCTGCTAATACTTCTAGAGTGCCCACTGGTTCGTCCATGTTTTCTTCTGAATTTGAAAACACTTCATCTCCAGGTTGCCAATCTCTTCTAGAAAGTCCATCTGCTGCAAAGGTCTTCCCTTTTACATGTTGCAACGTAAAGTGGAACATGAGGATTTTGTCAATCCATCTATTTACAGTAGCATTTGGTCCCATGCCAGGATTTGTTAGCATTCCAGCAAGGTACTTTGCATCTGTTTCCACTATTAAACGTCTTACACCAAGTAACCAATATGAAGCAGCTTCAAGGGCTCTCATGAGTCCAAATAATTCTCTCTTTGGTTGTGACATTCTTGCTTCTCTGTCATTCAAGGTTATAGAACCAAACCTTGCATAGTTTCTTTTTCCTGTATCTTTGTCATCTTGAAAGATGTAAAAGCCAACAGCCTTCCATGAGGTGTCTACTGCTAGTACAACTGGATTGGGATTATTAATATAATCTAAAGGCACCAATGCAGGACATTCTCTGAGACTTTTCTTGAGTTCTGCCATGGATTCTTCTTGAGCAGGCCCCCATTCAAAAGGAGCACCTTTCCTTGCCAAGTCATTGATAGGCTGTGCTTTCTTTGCAAAGTTTTCAATAAACATCCGGCATACCCCAACAGTTCCGAGAAATGCTCTCACATCATGCAGATTTTTACAAGGTCCCCAATTATCAATGAGCTTTACTCTGTCTGTCTCTGGTT